GTCCCCGCGCACCCTGCGCCCGGCACCGCGTTCCGGCGGGGGCGCAGGGCGCACGCTCGCGGCGCCGCGGACTGCCCAGCTCCCGCGACCGTCCCGCTGCCCGGGCGACCCCGAGCCGCCCGGAGCTCCGGCTGCGTGCTGCCCCGGCGCCACGTCCGCAGCCGCGGCCGGGCCCGTCCTCACCTGTGCGCCTTCAGCGGAGCAGCGCGCGGAGGACAGCGGCAGCGCCGGCGCTCCGCATCTCCGGCGCGGCCCCTGCAGCGGCGGCGGCGACTCCCTCCGCTGTCTGGGGCGCCTGGGGGAGGGCGCTGGGCTTCGTTGCTTATTCATAAGGCCGCGGCTGCGGCCGGGGATTGGGCGGCCAGGAGTGTGCCCGCCCCGGCTCGGCTGGCACGAACGCGCGGTGCTGGCGCCCCACGCCCCTCGGCGCCCGCTTCCCCGCCTCCGCTAGTGCGAGGGGGCGGCTCCTCGAGGGGGCGAGGGGGCGGCTACGCCTGGGACCGCTCCGGAGACCCGCCGCCCTGCCGCCTCTCCGTACCCCGAGCTTCAGCGGAGCGCCCTCTCAGCACCTAAGGAAAAGACACCCGGGCGCCGTGTTCGCTGGGGGAGCCCTAATTTCTCGGGCAAGGCAGGTGGGCTGCTGCAGGGTGGTCCTTGTGGAAACTGCGCGGCGGGGCCTGCGCCCAGTCGGGACCTTAAATGAGCTCCGCGTGAGATGTTCCCATCCCAGCCCCTGCGAGAAGTTGGAAGTAGGTCGGGTACTAAGTGCGGCTTCCTGAGCCCTCACTCCAGCCAGGCGAGAGGCTAGGCGGTGCCTCACTCAGGAGAGCACTTCCCGACGTTCGTGGGAAGTGGAATCGCAGCGTGTTTATGTTGACGCAAAAAAAATTTTTTTTAATCCACGCATGTGTTCTTTTTTCAGCGTATGTATTTTCCACGAACTTTCTGAAGTTTCCTTGTGTTGGTTCACCTGCTTCATCTGCACCATAACTCTTAAAAGTTCCATATTTTTACGCCCATTTAACAGGTGGAGTAGTTGAGGCTGAAGGCTCAAAGGGGACCACGGGGAACTCCGGACGTCCATTCTTCAGCCGCTCAAGGACTCGGATTCCTTATTCTGTTACCCCACAATGGGACCGCAAAGAGATGTCAGGAGCCTGAGGACCTGTTCTGGAGCTCCCCCCCCCCCACCCACCCACACACACACACAGCACTTCACGTTTGCAGCCCATTTTTTTCACATGCGTTGCCTCTTGGCCCTGTTAACTCCCTGCTGCATGATGGCTGTGCCAGTCCCGTTCTTGTAGTTACTGGTAAACACCTTAAAAACGGACCAAGGTTTTGTCCACCCTTGGCCTCCACGCCTAACATGGCGCACAGGAGTGCTCTGCCTCCCCCCCCCCCCCAGTATTTCCAGAAGGGTAGACAGCAAATAGAGGTTGCATGGAGTGGAGTTAGATGGAACTGATTCTGTAAGATCTGCTTTGGGGTATACTCTACAGTGTAATAGGCTGCACTGTGGCCAGGTCTTCTACCTGGATTCCGGCGACTCCTGCCAGGTGGGTAAGCCACACCAACCTGACCAAGTTGTGTTTCAATGTTGTATGTTCAGTTGTTTGAAAATCAGACATCTTCTCATAGAAACGATCTTATATACAGTGGTGAGATTCCCAGCTAGCCCGTAAAACTAGGTCTACACAACCAGAATGCTGGTAAACTGTAGTACTAATAAAAACACTCCCAGCTCTAGATCATAGCACCAAGCCGCATAGGAGGGGTGGCAAGGGAAGGGATTCCAGTTCCCATTGAATCTGCATAAATTGAGAAGGTTCGAATTTTGTTTGGCATCTTCCTGCCTCTTCTGCTTTGCTTTCTGACATCTTAGCTTTCTCGTCCTCAGAGACCTGTTAACCACGTGGTACTACTCCAGGTCCCAACCGCAGACCCCCTTACCCTGAATGTGTTCCATTCTCCAAAATTACCTTTGTCTCACAGTGGAAAGTCTGTCTCCCATTTCCCCAACACACATTATTTCAGCTACACAGTAACAGTAAAGCAATCCTTTATCGTGCCCCCAATGGTTTGTACTGCTTTAAACAGCTCTGGTTAATACAATTTATTTCAGCAGCTGCTATTGCTACATGCCAGCAACAGCAAGATCCCCACTTTCCCAACACACACAAATTCTCGAACAGGGACAGCTGCACTCTAAAAGTCAGACCAGTAAATCTCCACGTGATAAATGTTATCAGCCTGTTTTGAGCAAAGCAAGAAGTTGTGTGTGTGTGTGTGTGTGTGTGTGTGTGTAGAGCTTGGGAACACCTAAAAGTCCAATCAAGGTAATAGGCATGGAAGCTCAGGGAGCCATTTTTGAGGATACCAACTTAGCAAATAAAAAAAGTGTTCCCAGTTAAAATTTGCATTTCAGACAGACCACAGATAATTTCGATTACTTAACATTTGAAACATTTGTATGCTACAAATTATTTTTGGTTCAGCTGGAGTTCAAGTCTAACTGAGCAGCCTTCCTTTTATCTGGTAGCCTTTTTGGTTTTAGGCGATGAGTTGGTCCTGGCTGGTCAAAGCGTTTGTGTCAGAAAGGAACAAAGCACAGGCTGAGCATCGCCAAAAGCCAGACGAGAACCAACCCATTCAGAGAGCTGATGTAAGGAGCTGGCAGTGCAGATTCAACGGTACCGTGTCCTTGATGAGGCTGTCCCTAAACTGCCTGGAAATGCCTCACAGCCTACCAGCGATTTCTCCATGGCCTGATTCCCGTATGCTAGGTTCCCATGGGACAGCTGGATTTCCTACGTATGAGGTCCACGGGAGCTCTGCTGGGGCAGGCGGTCCTGTCTGCTGGACCTCTGGTGTGCACAAAATTGTCGCTGTGTGTTATGTGAGCTAGATTCTGGGAGGCTGTTCCTAATCGGTCTTCTGACGCCCACAGAAATGGAGTTTCTGCTCTATGAAGACAAGGACGCTGGGCAGGACTGGCTTCTCCAAGGTAAGGGCCATGTTGTAAGGGTTCTGGGGTTGTGTGCGGTGGGGTAAGCTGGCCAGACTGCCCCAGACCCCGCGGCACTGTTTACTGAGGATGCTTTTTTGATTTGAGCGTGTCTTGTTTTGTTTTCATTTGAAATTACCTAGAACTTGAAGCCGTGGGACAGCACGAAATGAAAAAGGCACAGGAAGGACCAGGATCGCCCCCGACCCATCCCTGTGTGACGAGGCTCTTCTCTGCTTGCCTCCCCCGCCCCTTTGTGAAAATTCTGTAGAACCCCCTGACTTGGATTGTGTGGTTTTTATTGGCTCCCAAGGCTCCCAGCAAGGAAGTCCAGCCACAGAAGCACTAGACTGTTAGGTAGCACAGGGGATGTTTACAAATTAGATATTTCAGACCTGGCTCCAAAAGTTGTCTTTCCTTCCTGCTTTATCTGAGTTGTTAAGCATTTCCCACTGTTCTCCGCCCAACTGTTCCCTGACTCCCATTCGCTGGAGGATCTCCCACTTGCTTTTACTTTCTGAAGTTGAAATTCCCAGGAGAAGACTTTAGGGTAAATGGTATTGCTAGGAATACTCTACCTGCACTCAGTACTCAGCGTAAGAAAGCACTTCAAGGGGCCAGTGCTGTGGCGTAGCCAGTAAAGCTACCTGTGGTGGTGGCATCCCATATGGGCGCCGGTACAAATACCAGCTGCTCCACTTCTGATCCAGCTCTCTGCTATGGCCTGGGGAAGCAGTGGAGGATCACCCAAGTCCTTGGCCCTTGCACCCGAGTGGGAGACCCGGATGAATCCCCTGGCTCCTGGCTTTTGGATTGGATCAGCTCTGCTCCGGCCATTGCAGCCATTTGGGGAATGAACCAGCAGGTGGAAGACCTCTCTCTCTCTCTCTCTCTCTCTGCGCCTCTGCCTCTGCCTCTCTGTAACTCTGCCTTTCAAATAAATAAATAAATCTTTAAAAAGTTAGTATAGCAAAGTTTAGAAGTTTGTTGTCTTATGAAATAATATATTAAAAAAGAATGAAAAGAGCATTAGATATTTAAAATAAATAAATAAAAAAGAAAATATTTCAGTCCCACGTGGGTGCTGGTTCGACTCCCAGCTGCTCTGCTTCTGATCCAGCTCCCTGCTACTGTGCCTGGGAAGGTCACAGAAGGTGCCCCAAGTGCCCTTGGGACCCTGCCCCCACGTAGGAGACTCAGAGCAAGTTCCTGGCTCGTGACTTTGGCCTGGCCCAGTCCCTGTCATTGCAGCCATTTGGGGAATGAAACAGAGGATGGAAGACCTCTCTCTCTCTCCCTCTCTCTCTCTCCTTCTCTCTTTATCTTTAGGTCTTCATTCCAAATAAATAACTTTTTAAAAAAAGTTTAAAAATAACAAAAGAAAGTACTTCAGAAACTTCACAGTCTGCCTATACAACCCCAGCAGTAGATGCTCACTGATTCTCAAGGTAAGTATATCCTGTTCTGAGCATTAAATGGGTAAACCTTTGTCTTTCCTTCTAAAGATATATTTATTTATTCATTTATTTGAAAGGCAGAGCTACAGAGAAGCAGAAGCAGAGAGAGAGAGAGAGAAAGGTCTTCCATCCACTGGTTCACTCCCCAGATGCAATGGCTAGAGCTGTGCCAATCCAATGCCAGGAGCCAGGAGCTTCTTCTGGGTTTCCCAAAAGTGGATGCAGGGGCCCTAGGACTTGGGCCATCTTCTACTACTTTCCCAGGCCATAGCAGAGAACTGGATCGGAAGTGGAGCAGCTGGGATTCGAACCAGCACCCATATGGGATGCCAGCACCACAAGCAGTGGCTTTACCAGCTACGCCACAGCGCTGGCCCCAAACCTTTGTCTTTATGCACCAAAGTAAGTTATCTTTTAATTCCATTTTCTTACAAAGTTTTTCAATTCTATTTTCCTACAATTATTTGATGATTATGGTAGTGATAATGTAAATAATGGTAAGGATGTTAGAATCAGTTTCATTAATTCTGCTAAATGTTTTCATTGCATCCAAAACACTCAGAACACTTGACATGACCTATCACGAATGACTTGAGTGCTAATGAGCTTAGATTTTCACCTCCAAGATTGTGTCCTTATTATACAGTTTACTGGAGGAGAGAAGTAGATAGAAGAGATATCAGCATAAAATGACTTCCCTTTAAAAAGGCTCTGCAACAGTGAATTTTTCTGCACTGTAGTTACTTTTCACTGTGAACTGAAGAGCCTCTGTACGTATCTATCATTTAGCACTTACTGTGCAAACACCTAGGTGAATCCTTGCTTCTCTGCTTTCTCCAAGAAGCCTGTTACAGAGAAGCACCACGTTGTATCTATGTATGCTTTACATTCACCTCCTTAAAATCTGCTGTTTTATTAAGTGTTAAATTTCTGGAGGCCCTGGACTATCTGGTTCAGTTCTCATGTATGGAACTCTGTGGCCTTGAAAAAGCCAG